CCCCAAAACCCCAAAACCCCAAAACCCCAAAACCCCTTACAACGTTAGATATTAAGAATAATATAAAATTACATCATCGTAATGATTCCAACAGCTTACAAGGATAAGACTTTATTTGTCACTGGCAGCACAGGATTTTTAGGTAAATTTTAGCAGAGGATTCCTTTGAGTCTTTGTGTTTACCGGTTAAAAGTTCCATGAAAGTGGATAAATTGAGGAGTTCACAGTGTAATCGATCAATTTAGGCAAAGTAGTGCTTGAGAAACTGCTATTTGTGTGAAGAGATGTGAGGAAGATATATCTCTTAGTCAGACCAAAGGTAAATTTTCCTTAGTTCCCCAAACTCAGCTCTGAGTGATGACGTATTGATTTTGGATCTGACTAATTTACTGAATTTCTATTGGTAGATATCTCAAAGAGTGTACAATAAAGTCATTCGACTGAGAATCTTTGTGGTCTCAAAAACTTTATAGGCTGACAAAACAGCTAGTGAGAGAGTGGCAGAGCTCTTCTCATCCCAGTGCTTTGACAGACTTCGGGAAGAGTACAACCCTGATAGAGATGAGGATCTGAATGAGTAAGCTTTCACTGATGACGTTAGTGCTTTTTGGAACACCAAAGTTTTCCCAATCCAAGGAGATATCGTAATCTTATAAGTCTCATCCATTCTAGACTGAGGACAAGCTTGGGCTCACACAGGAGCACTATAGTCAGCTAGCTTATGAAGTTGATGTGGTGATCAACATTGCTGCTTCCTCTGATTTCAAGATGAGGCTTGACCTGAGCATGAAATCAAACGTGATTGGAACAATGAATGTATTTGACTTCGCAAAGCAGTGTAGCCATTTAGCAGCGTTTTGCCAAGTCTCCACTTGATATGTCTCAGCCAATCTTCCGTAAACATTAGCAACTAATATATAGAGAGGGAAATATAGTCGAAGAAGTCCAGCCTCCACCCAAAGGAGTTGACCTCGAAATGCTAGTTGAGTCAATTATTAAGTTAGACCAGCACCAGATTGTGAAGAAGGAGAGAGAAATTATTGGAAATCATCCTAATACTTATATGTTCACCAAGAATATTGCTGAACAGCTGTTACAGCTCAAAAGAGGAGATATTCCATTGACTATCGTGAGACCATCTGTTCTCGGAGTTGCTTATAGAGACCCAAACCCAGGCTGGGTCGATTCCATCACAGCAGGCACAGCAGTCTATTTGTTAGTCGGGTTAGGAATCATCAAAGAGTTTAATTTTAATTCATCTTTGATTGGCGATAATGTGCCTGTTGATTATTGCTCAGATCTCATTATTGCATCAACAGCAGAAATTATGCATCAGGATAAGCTCAAGGTGTATCATTGCTCAATTAGTAGCAGAAATGCTATCAGTTGGGGGACTGCAAGGGATATCAGTCTCTCTGTTCTCTCCAGAAATCCTTACCAGAGAAGGATTAGTGAGCCAAAGTATGATATGATTCGTTCTCCAGCATTGTTCAAAATCTTATTCCTCAAGAGGGAGATACCGACATATTTCTACTACTATCTGTCAAAAATGATTGGAAACCCTAAAATGAACAAGAATGCTTCTAAAATGATGAAGTTATTGAAAACTATTAAGGAGAGGCAAGTCGCATTCAAAGATACTATTAATAAGGAATGGATATTTGAATCCTATAACAGCTTCCAGCTCAATGCAACTCTTTCTCAAGAAGACCAGCTCTGATTTCAGTTGGATACCATTGGGATTGACTGGAAACTATACATTAAGCTCTTTTGGTATGGGATGAGCAAATACATCTTGCATGAAGAGTCGGAGCTACCCATCACTGGTCGGAGAAACTTTTTGCGTGTGAGCGACACTCCAAAATCTCTATTTCCAGATCTGATGTATGTCTTCAAGCATGGGCAGGACCAGCACACCCTAAGTCATAAGGCCATCACCAAGGAAGTGCTTGCCAGCGACCAAGTGCAGAGGGTCGTCCGCCAGCTCGTCGCTGACGAGCTGACAACCTCTGCACTGAGCGAGGCCAAGCTGTTGAAGGTGCAGCATGAGAAAGGAGTGGCGATAATGGACAGGATGGCAACGCAGCTGAGTTTTAATAAGATGAGGATGCTGGGATATGTCATTCATAAAGCTTTTAAAAACATGTACGAAAATGTCGTAGTTGACGAGAAAGATATGGAGCAGCTCAAGTTACTCAATGAGAGAGATGACTGTAACGTTGTCTATTGCCCAACACATCGTTCCTACGTCGATTTCATCATTCTGTCATACGTTCTCTATGCACATGAGATCAAGGTTCCTCACATCTGTGCTGGTGAGGACTTCCTCAACATCGCAATTGTGCACACCTTCTTAAGGAACTCGGGAGCGTTCTTCATGAGAAGAACATTTAGAGGAGATCCTCTGTACAAGGCTATCTTCACAGAGTACGTCCAGAATCTCATGAGGAGTGGCCACTCCCTTGAGTTCTTCCTGGAAGGGACCAGAGCAAGAGGAGGGAAGATGATCAGTCCGAAGTTCGGGCTCCTCAATGTCCTCTCTAATTCGTATTTTGATGGCAAAGTTCAGGACCTGTACTTTGTACCAATTACTCTGAATTACTCTCGAGTGTTGGAAGGTGAAACCTTCCCACTTGAGCTCCTTGGAGAATCCAAGGTCAAAGAATCCCTCGGTAGGATCATCAACGCTGCTAGATATATCTACATGAACTTTGGGTCGATTTATGTGGAGGTAGCCAAACCTGTCAGTTTCAAGGAATATGCTCAAGAGATGATCGTGAAAGAAGGTCTCCAGCCTACCGTGAATAAGAGCGATATCAAGCTTATAACAAGTAGCCTGGGATGGCACTTGATCCGGACTATGTCGGAGAAGGTCGTAGTTATGCCAACTGCCATCTGCGCATCTATTTTGCTGATGCATAGGAAAGGTATCAATAGCAAGGAACTGACCAGACAAGTTGATTTCTTGATTAAATTGCTCAGGAAAAGACATATTTTACTCACAGCTCATTCTAATAATGCTGAGACATGCGTGAAGAAAGGTACAGACCATTTGAACGAAACTGTTAGTAGGAAGAAGGATATTTTTGAGCCAAGAGTCACACCAAAGGTTGACTACCAGAATATTTTACTCCTTGCATACTATAGAAATAATCTGGTCCATATATTCATTAATGAAGCTCTAATTTCTTGCTCATTATTTGGATTTGGGCAAGAGATAGCCTGGAATGAAGGGGTCACAAGAGAGCATCTGTGGGAGAAGGTACAGTTTATTAGCAATCTTCTAAGAAACGAATTTGTCCTTACAAACAATTTCAAGACGTTTGAGGATTACAATAAAGTCTTAGACTTCATGATCAAAGAGAAGACAATTTCCAAACTAGAAAATGAGAACTTAGTTATTTGTTCGACTGGTGAAAACCACATTAATTTCTTGAACTCTTTAATCTGGCCTTTTATTGACACTTATTGGATCACATTCAGCTTCTTCTACTCATTATTCCCGTCAAAGTTCATCAGTGAGGGAGAGATGATGCCTCAGATTCAGGCTTTTGCTTCAAATTTATATGAAGAAGGATTCATCTCCTTCTACGAGTCGCTTAGCCAAGAGGTCATCAAAAACGCAGTGGGCACTTTTCAGGCTGACCGAGTCATAGTCAAGCAGAAACTAGAGATGACCATTGATGGTGTAAAGACCGAAAGCGTGTTCACCATGGGCGATGAGTTTAATGAGGAAGAAAGAATGCAAGAGATGTTCAAGGTCATTCAGCATTTTAGAAAAAGGACTCTAGGAGAGACTCTTGATATTCAAATGGTAGCAAAGATGAGCAGGAAGGGGCTAGAGCAAGCTAAGATTTAGGGTTAAAATCAGTATTCAATGCAGCTTTGATGCAACGGGGTTTTGGGGTTTTGGGGTTTTGGGGTTTTGGGGTTTTGGGGTTTTGGGG